CACTGCGTTCTGCAGTGCGTCGCGGACGAACCTTGAGATGGATTGCCTTTGCATGATGAATTCCGCAACTGCCGAGCGATCGGCAGGAAGCACCGAGGGTTTCAGTGTATAATTGGCCGTGGTAACTTCCTGCTCGCGAATCTTACTGCCTGAATCGATCAAGTTCTGCTCATCTCGTTATCGGAGATGCAGTACGCCGAGGAGGCTCGATAGACTGCTTGGACGGAGAGCGAGTCAAGACGTTCACACTGGCTACACCCAAAGATAACCCTGAAGTCGAGTGCGCTGGCAGGCCTGCTGGCACCGGTGAGGTTACCGGTGCGTGCTGAGACACCGGTTCACGTACCGGTGATGACCACGACACGGACTCGTTGTCCGCAGGGCTGACCGCAGCTTCAGCATTCATGTCGACCGAAGGAGGTTCTCCCCCACCAAGGGTGGAGCCGCCAGCATTCGTGGGGTGGCCCACGGCAAGAAGTGCCGGAACCGGTGGGTGTCGAGCGTGGTTCACGAAGAACGGCGTCATGCCCGTCGAGGAGTGCTCGGCTTTATTGAGTATAAAATTTGGCTAGCGGCAGGAACGAGCTCCAGCTCGTGTACGAATTCACGTAGCTGCGGAGAACGTCTTCAAGGACTCGGTTGACGCATTCGGTCTGTCCATCCGTCTCCGGATGCGCCGCGGTCGACATCAGGAAATTGATTCCCAAGAGCTCGAAGAGACGTGACCAGAACGCGGATGTAAACCGCTGGTCGCGGTCGGACACGATAGGCTCCGGCAGACCGTGGTGACAAAAAATCACGTCGACGAATCGGGCCGCGGTAATTGAGGTTGTCACCGGAACGAGATGGGCCATCTTACTGAAACCATCGCCGAACACAAGTACACCCGCGTGCCCGGCAGTATCGGTCGGAAGGCCGAAGATGAAGTCCATCGAGATGGAGCACCAAGCTTCCGTGGCGACCGGAAGAGGGCGCAATGGGGTCTGAGACGGTTTGACTCGCTGGCAAGTTTCACATGTGCGGACCCACTTGCGTATCCACTTGTACATGTGCGTCCAATAGAAGTCTCTCGACCGAGATGTCCTCCAGTCGGGGCGTCATGGTACTCGTGGATTATGCGCACACGTAGGCCAGCGTCGTTTGGGACGACGACTCGAGGTCCATCAAACCTGTCGATGCTGTACTTCAGCAGATTGCGTATCGATCGATCTGATTATGTGTGGTCCTTGACAGGGCACTTAGCGTGTCACTATAAGGACCGCGCAGGTGCTTCATGATGGCACCGTATATAGGGTCATCATCGTACGCTGTAGCAATCTCGTCGTCCAGCGGGGGCGTGGGCGTGGTCAGCGTCAAGTTGATGCCTGACGACACGCAGACCGCACATTCGTCGTCGTCCTCATCAGCCACCTGATGTCCTAGCGCTTCACGGGGATCGTAGTCCGGACGCCGAGACAGCGCGTCGGCGAGAATGTTATTCTTGTCCGGCTTGTAGTGAACAACGAAGTTGTAATCGGAGAAGAAGGACAGTCAACGGGCCATCCGTTGCGACAAGTGAGGGCTCTTCATCGCTGTCCGCAGCGATGCGTGATCAGTGTAAACCGCAAACGACTGTTCACCGAGCAAGTACACTCTGAATTTGATCAGAGCGTACCGCATTGCCAATAGCTCCTTGTCACGGACTTGGTAGTTCTTCTCGGCTGGCTTCAGTTGTCGTGACTGATAGCTTATAACGCGTTCATGTTCGTCATCATTGAGCTGCATCAGCGCACAGCCGATGGCAAAATCGCTCGCGTCGCAGACGACGTGAAATGGCTTTGAGTCATCAGCAAGCGTCAGGATCGGCGCAGACGCCAAGCCCTTCTTCACCGAGTCGAATGCAGCTTGGTGGTCCGATTTCCACTCCCAGATCACGTCCTTATTCAGCAGCGAGGACAGCGGCTGGATCAACCCAGCGTAATTCTTCGTGTGCTTGTGCAAATAATTGGCCATGCCAAGCTTCACGCTGCGTCCGTAGATGTTTCTGGATCTTAAGCGAATATTCGAGCTTGGTGGGTCCAGGGCCTAGATCAGGGATCTGGCCGTAGGGTTGCCTTGCGGGAGTGTTCCCTTGCCTTTGTGTTTCCTTTTCGTCGTACTTGCTGCCTCCTGTGACGGGATCTTGAGAGTTGAGAGCCTCTAGGGTGTAGCCGGCCAAGTAGTAAATCCGGTCAACCTTTCGGATCTGTACGTGTAAAGGAACGCTCACAAGGTTGTACAATCTGGCCAATGTAATATCCAGTTATCACTACCAGCTCTAGATTCGCAATTCCCAACGTTCACCGAGCTCGTACGGCCAATGTAGTTCCGATTCTTGAGGGCAGGAAGGCATTTGCGTGATACTGTGCAAATTGAGGTCTGTATTGATAATTAAGCCTATGCCTGCCTGGATTTCTACCTTCTATGTCTTTTACCTGCTTAATCCCCTACCAGGCTCGGCTGCATGTCCTTTTTCTCCTTCGCCCATCATCCCAGCTGTATTATCATCAGATCAACCGGATCCATGGCGTAATCAGTATGGTCGTTACATTTGTCCGGATTCAGGTTACCTTGATCCACCTCACTACAAGTGTACGCTCTTCATGGATTTGAGCTCTCCAATCTTCCAACATTGTCTTACGACCGCCTGCGATCTTCATCACTCCACGAAAGTTCGCGATTCGTTGCATCCAACATCCCCATATCCTGGATCCAAGTCACTCCGTGTGTGATCCTTACCCCCTTGGATCCGGACTCGGAAGTGTGGGATCTGAGACATATCGTGGTGGATCTTGCCTTCTCGTTTATCGTTGATACCAGATCCACCTTCGGATGACACCTACCATCCTTCCTTCATAGGATCCCCACTTAATCCACCTGCACATGGTATTTTTCATATCTTCTAGATGTAATTAGGTGAGGATGGATCCGAGTCTCCACTTGGTGGATCATGCCTTCCCATACGTTATCCATACCACATCCATCGTCGACCCATACAGGATGCCACTTTATCTTGGCCAATCCACTTCGAGCAGCGTGGATTCATGCCGGGCGATCCAGATCTTCCCTAACCACTCGGTGCTGTCACTAATCTGGGATAGTGACTCCTTGTCAGATCGATTCTCTTATTTCTGAGAAAGCACTTCACCCCAACTCCAGTTTCTCCACAATCAGTGCCTTTAACTCTCGGTGTGACGACGATCTCGATATAGCGCACATTAACGCAACATTAAAGTATAGAATCAGCCAATCAAGAACAGTCTGA